TTTTTTTTTTTTTTAATTTTTTTTTCAACGTTTTTATTTATTCTGTGTGATTTCTAATGTTACATTGTGGGAGCGACACATGTGATTTTATAAAGATGTCGACTACTTTCAGGATCCACGGGGATGTGGTAGTTAGCAACACAGGCAGGGAGGGTCACGTCCCAGCTCTGCGGCTTTCTTACCGTGCGATCCCGGGTCAGGTGCTTCCTCCTCTCTTTGTAAGAGTGGAGACGGCAGAAGCCAGGGCTAGAGGAGCTCTAGAAGCATAAAAATGATGTGAATGCTTCTCTTTCCATGCATCGGGGGGAACGAAGACCCACCCCTGCGGCCTCTGTCCCCCTGAATCCTTCTTTCTCTGTTATCGGATCTGCTCTGTCTTAAGTAACACACTTGCAATCCGTTTTGCTGTTCGTTTTCTAACTTGGTGAGAGGTGTTCCATGATCGCTTTCCATGTTTTGCTCTAGAGCCCTCCCTTCGCCCAGAGGTGCCCAAGAGTCATGCCAGCGAGCCCCGGGCCCCTCCTGATGTCCCGTGAGGCGTCAGCCACCCTGCCGCACTCGAGAGGCCCGCAGGCCCCACCCCAGAGCCCTCGAAACAGAGCTGCGTCCTCCCAGCCAGTCGTGCCGTAGTCCTGGAGGGAGACCGCGGCCGGGAGCCTCTGCCAGGACCCAGGTCAGTTCGCGGGTGCTGCTGTCGCCTCGTAGGGACTGCGGGAACACGCTCGGTCTAACCTTGTGCCCTCCCCAGCCCTCAGCCGGGAGAGGCAGGATTAAGCACGGGGATGTGTCCTTTCTTGGCCAGACTTTTCCAGCAAAGGAAGTCCTCTACTTCTCTGACCAGAAGACTTCCTTGAACCGTGACCTTTTTGTATTTCCATCTTGGTAGAGGAAGAAAGTTCAACCCGGCCGGGTGCCCGTCCGCCTGTCCTGGGGATGACGGGCCCCCTTGAGGAAGTGCTTTCCCGTCTTAGCCTAACCCGCTTCTGGAAACCTTTTATAAACCACAGGCCCTCACGGGTCTCACGAAACCACTACTCTTTTATTAACTGTCCACAACTGATTCTATGACAGTTTTTCCACCTTGTTAATTTTGAAAGAATTTGGATAGTTTATTAAGTCACTAGTTCATAGCACTCTGTACTATCTCAGCTCTCATGCCTTCACATTTTAACCATGCAGTTAATTAAAAGCGTATCTTAGGTTAATTTGTAAGTAACTTCTCTGAGTCGTGCTCTCTACCAGTATTTGTTGACTACTCTCGAACGCATAAATTTTGAGCATCGTTAGACGGATCTGCACCGCCACTTGTTAACTAAAAAAAGCAAGAGTTTCATTTTAAAAAGAGCTTTCCTGGAAATGACTCCGACCGACTGAGGCCAAATGTAAAGTTGGCCTTTTTAAGAAAACCCACGCGTTCTCACTCCGCCTGCGGGGTCTCACGGCGGCTTCTCCGGGTGGTGGTGTTAGCGTGCGGTGCGCTCACGGAGGAACGATTCCCTAGACATTTGTCCGAGCGTTCGCGCCTCTTAACTGCTCCTGTTTGTGTGGGGTTGTTTCCGCCCGTGTGCGGAGCCAGTTCGTTGAACTCAGAACTTTCCGCGTGTGTCACACAGGCGCTTCCTCACCTGAAGGACTGTGAGCCGCAAAGGGCCCCTCAAAGGTCCCCCCGCGACCTGGCCGTGCGGACGGGAACCAGGAGTGCTCTGGGGTGTCCCCACCTCCACCGCCCACGTGCCCACCCTGGGTCTGAGCAGCCTGGTCCGCCCCCAGCCTTCATGCCAGCAGCTTCCAGAAGGCGGTGCTGCCGTGTCCTGGGCGTTGTGGGGTCTTCCTGAGCTAACTGACACCACCTCCTTCTGTAGCAGGTGAGCGTCTCACCTGGGCCCCGTGTCTCTGCTCACACTAGACCCCATACGCCTAGGGAAATGCACTTCCCCAGATGGAGGGAGGCCTTTACAACGCCCCCCCCCC